ATGCAGTGAGCTATGATTGTGAAACTGTACCCCAGCCTGGGCACAGAGTAAGACTCTGTCTCAAAAAAATAATAATGTATAAGGAAGTGTCTTGAAAAACTTCAGCTTGTAATAGTGAGTATATTGTTAGTATGTTAGTGAGTTATATTAGTATGTTGTTAAAAATGGGAATTTGGTCATGGCTTTTCATATACTATATAGTCTCATTGAAATTCTATGAGTTCTTAATTTTAGGTAATGTAGACACGATGATTCTTACTGAAACACTTACCTTTATTTTAGTACTCCTTATATGTTAAAGAATATGTTTAGTAATCCTTATATGTTAAAGGATGTAATGCTTTTGGTGAGAATGGTGCTGTGTGGATCGATTGTGAGTCGCGTTATTGCTAGTGTACATTACTTAATGTTCTTGCTTCTTAACCACTGCCTCCCACAGGTCCCTCTGTGCCTGGTGAAGGCATTCCTCAGAGCACTAGCAGCCGCATTCCCTTCGTTTCTTGGTGCAGTCCTCTAGACTGTGAGGTCAGCAAGGTAGGGAGCTCGCCCTTGTCACTATCCCCAGCTCTAAGCACAGAGCAAGGCAAAAGGCAGACCTCAAATGTTGATTGCATAGATTTTCATTTACAGCACATATGACCTTCATTTTCTTTTAAACAGTTCAATAGCCCAGCCTTAATTCAAACAGGCCTTCTCTCCTCTCCCTTTTTATGGTGTTTTTATGGTGGTTAAGAGCGGGAGCTTCAGGGTTTGTCTTCCGGGATTAAGCTGTGTGACTTAGGACAGTTTACTTAACTTCTCCGTGCCATGTCCTGGCAAGACAGTGGGTGTAATAGTAGTGCCTATTTGATACGGATTTTTGAAAATTACACGAGCTAAGTAAAGCACCTAGAACGGTGCCTAGCACATAGTGAATGTTTAATAAATGTCTGCAGAAAGTAGCAGCAGGAGTGGGGCAGACTTGGCTGTTCCGTTGCAGTGTGGTGAGGGCACAAAGCATGTGCTTTGGAGTGCAGCTGAATCACCACTGAGAACATGGGCCTGGGGCACTCCAGTGAACCTGCCTGCTTCAGCTTCTTCATCTGGAAAATGGGGGTGTTAATCATGCACAGCTGTTGGAGGATAAAAGCGTGAATGTGAGCATTTATTAATAGAAATATCCCATTTCTTTTTTCTTTCTTTTTCTTTTTTTTTTTTTTTTTAGATGGAGTCTCGCTCTGTCCCGCAGTGGAGTCATCTCGGCTCACTGCAACCTCCGCCTCCTGGGTTCAAGCGATTCTCCTGCCTCAGCCTCCCCAGTAGCTGGGATTATAGGTGCCCACCATCATGCCCAGCTAATTTTTGTATTTTTAGTAGAGAGAGGTTTCACCATGTTGCCCAGGCCGGTCTCCAACTCCTGATCTCAGGTGATCTGCCCACCTTGGCCTCCTAAAGTGCTGGGATTATAGGCGTGAGCCACCGCACCTGGCCTCTTTGTCTTCTTTCTGATTGTTACAATCAGCATATGGCCACTGTGAGCCTGGTAAGGCATGGACATCCATCCACCCTCACCCCCCAACCTGCTGAAGACATATCCCAGGTCCTGCTGATAGCGGAAGCCACAAAGATGACGGCTATGGCAGAATCAGTCCCTACTTGGTGGAGCCCATGGAGCCACCTGTCAGAGCAGACGCCACAGCTGTCATGGACATGGGACTTAATTTCTTTCCTTTTGTCTCTGAAAAGTTTGTAATGTGGTAAGAGAGGAGCTGCAGGGAGCATGCATTTCCAAAGTTCTGTTGCTTTTTGTATGTTTGTTAATTCAACCCAGAATATACAAGAAGTTCTATTTATGAGCAGGGATAAAAGTGGAGCCTATGGCTTATGATTTTTTTTTCTTTTTCTTTTCTTTTTTTGAGACAGTTTCACTCTGTCACCCAGGCTGGAGTGCAGTGGTGCAATCTTAGCTCACTGCAACCTCCACCTCCCAGGTTCAAGGGGTTCTCCCACCTCAACCTCCTGAGTAGCTGGGACTACAAGCACTCACCACCACACCCAGCTAATTTTTGTATTTTTAGTAGAGACAAGGTTTCACCATGTTGGCTAGGCTGGTCTTGAACTCCTGACCTCAAGTGATCTACCCGTCTCAGCCTCCCAAAGTACTGGGATTACAGGTGTGAGCCACCACACCTGGCCAGCTTATGATTTCTTTATGATGGACGAAGTGAAATACCCTTGTGTTCTCCCAAGTAATACACACACACACGTGTGCACACACAGGCATGCACATGCATTCACACGTGTGTATATCTGCAGAGGGCCAGACTTATCTCGAATCACCCTTGGGAATCTGGATCATCCACCTTTGAGTTTTCTCCTCCTTTGAACTCCAAATCTAGTCTTTTGAATATGCTTCAGCATGATCGTTAGGGAAATGAGAGGCAGTGCCTCTCCTGTGCTTGGCCTTATGTCCAGGCAGTACCTGAAAGGCAGCGTAGAGTTAGAAGAAACGGCCTGGAAAGCTGGAGTCTTTTAGCTAAAGGTTCCAGTGGCAGGTGACCCAGAACTTTGAGGTCGAAGGAGGTCTTGTTTAGCTCAGCAAATGTCTCCTGGGAAAAACTTTCCCCAGGCTTGATTTCATATTGACCCCAAACGACTTGAATCAGACATGCCGGAATTACAGCTACAATAGAGTAGTTAAGATTACAGCATGCTTCAGAAAAAGATAAGTAAACACAGTTTTTATGTCACTGGCATCTTCCTCCATACCTGCTTGGTGACTTCGCACCTGGGCTATGTGATAGCCTTTTCCTGCCTGCAGCACTCAGTGAATCGCGAGCCTCCCAGGGACACAGAGACTTTTCTTCTTTGAAGCCTGTGCTGAATTCTAGGGTCCTCTCCTGCTGTAGCCACTGTAGGACCCACTCAGGACACCCGTCACAGAGCACAGCTTCTCAGTGTGCACACAGAGATTGTGCTCAATTCCCTTCTTTCCTCCTTTCCGCTTTCCAAGGGAAGAGACTGACACCTGAGCTTGGGCATCTTCACAGATGGAGGGTGGAAGTTTGCACACATTCTGCATTTTCTGGTCATGTTCCCCACTGTCCTCCAGTTCCACTAAGGGTCTTAGGAAAGGTGGGTGCGCCACTTTTCTGAGATGCTCCTAGCTAGGGTCTTCCTCCACCCTCATCCCCTCTTAGGCTGGTTCCAGAGCCAGGTTCACCTGTCCTGGGGGTCCAAGGATGGACGATGGACTTCTTGGGAGAGCAAAGGGGTCAAGCCTAGTTGCTAGTTGCATAGATTGTTGAAGTTGGAGGGCCTTAAACTACTTTTGGTTCTAGCCTCTCATTTGACAGAAAAGGCTTTGAAGGGTGCCCTTCACAACCCAAGGAAGTGGCTGAAAGGGCCTTGGGATCTACTCTGAGGTTGCCTCTTCCCACTTCTGTGACTTGGTTTAGGAACTTTCTGAGATTTGGTTTCCTCCTCCATGCATTGAAGATGATACCTACTGCCTAGTTTTCTTGTGGGGTCAGTGATAATCCAGACATTCTACAGGGGAGAAATTAGCAGGTGTTCTGTTAAAGTTAGCTCTTCTAGTCTCTCCCTCCTTATTTTTCTTATGATACCCAATTCTCCGCACAGATCATTTTCCCCACTAGGCTATAAATTCCTGGAGATCAGGGACCCCATAAAATTCATCTTGGGTTTCTCAGCACCTGGGGACAGTGTCTGGCATCTACCAGTGAGGTTTCAAATAACCTGTGTTGTGCAACCTGTCAGAGCACGAATGTCCCCAGGAGACTAGACAACGGCCCTCGGGGAAGGCCCCACAGCTGGGAAGTCTGGGACCTCACAGCCAGTTTCCTGTCGTTCGTTCCTTTCACAGAAGTACAGGAGCCATAAGGTTCATGGGACTTTTATTTTTACTGTTTATTTTTTGAAACCCAGCAAGGATGGGCAAATGCTCAGTCCCTTCTGGGCTGCATTCCTCTGCCACCAGTCCCCACCCACCTCCCCCAGCCCACCCACGACCTGCCAGCAGCTCAGATCACCTGGGTGAAAAATACCACTCTGTTGGCCAGCGTCCCTGTCAGCACCAGCTCCAGTGCCAGACCGCAAGACTGTCCCAGGAAAGGAAGGGCCATGATTCCCAGCAGGCCGTGGTTCAGCCCCTCCCTGGCATCCTTCACCCAGCTGGAGGGGCTCTCCTTCTCCTTTCCTGCCTTGTTGGAGGGGTGTTGTTCCCAGCCCTTCCTTTGCTCCCCAGATGGGATGCTCCTTCTCTCTGGGTGGGCCTGTCCTTATATCAGCACCAAATGATGCCCAGGTGGGCAGCCCTTGGGTACACCGTCCCCGCCTCACCTCTCCCTGCATCCTCCCCTTTTCCCGGTTGTCAGGGATTTTCCGTGTCTTCAGGTCTCAGAGGTATTGACCCTGAGGGTAAATCGGAGAAAGGAGGCCAAGGGGATTTCCACAGCTCAGGGGCCATCATTCTGGAGTGTCAGGGGCGTTTATTCTTCACTGAGATGTCCCACTTGCCCTCCTGGAGGCAGATTCCTGCAGCCTGGGTTAGGTGCTCAGCTCTGGCCCCTCCAGTGGGATCCTTCCTGTGCACAGATCTGAGGAGTGCACCTGGCCACTCACCTGTCTTTTCTTCTGCAGCCAGCAGCTGGCTTGGGGCCCAAGACTCTGGTCTTCTGACTCCCCAGCCAGCTGCCTCCCTTCCTGGGATGTCCTGCCCCCGACCCCCACAAAAGTTGGATCACAGTGGCATGTCTGGGACCCCACAGCCAGTTTTCTGGCTGCAGAGCCTGGTCATTTTAGTCCTCTGTCCACTTGTGAATCTGCAGAAGTGGCAGGCGAGGCCCGCGGAGGTGCAAGGGGCAGCGGCTTCCCGGTCTCAGGAGTGCTGTGCCTCCCTCCTGGCCTCCTCCTCCCTTAGCTAGGATGCCTGTCCCCTTTCCCTCCTTTTCCTCCTCCTCTCCCGCCTCCCCTCCTCTTCTTCCGCCTCCTCCCCTGCACCTGCCACTCCTCCTCCACCTCCTCCACGCGCCTCTCATCAGAAGACTCAGTCCCTGCGCCCCCAGCAACGTGGGAAAGGGGAGGGGAAGGTAGGCTCCTCGGCGTTCCCCCGCGGGCTGCAGCCGGGATCCCGGGCCTGGACGGCGGGCGTCAGACGCTGTGCGCTCCCAGGCTGAGCACCGAGAAGGCGGCGCGGTGCTTGCGCAGCAGCAGGCGGATCTTCTCGTCGTCCGAGTCAGGGTCCAGCGGCTTGTTGTACTCGTCGTCCTCGTTCTCCGAGGGTGCGCGGTCCCCGCCTGCGCCCGTGCCCGCGCCGCCCGGGGCCCGGGGCGTGGAGGACGAGGGTTCCAGGGCGCTCTTCTTCCGCCACTTGGTCCTGCGGTTCTGGAACCACACCTGCGATGAGAAAGACTGTGAAGGGCACAGGGCCACAGCGCGCACGGGACGCGGGAACAGCCACCCTGCTACAGCTAAACAAATGGTTCAACAACCAAGTGACGGTCACATTCACGCTTCTGTTGGGGAAGGACAATAAAATTTAAAAACGTGAGCGCAAGAGCCCTCCCCTCTCCTCCCTCAACTCCCCCGTGTTGCCGCCGCCGCCGCCTCCTCCTCCTCCTCCTCCTCCTCCTCCTTTACCTCTTCCTCTTCTTCCGCCTGGGTTCTAGGTGGAAGATGCGGAGTGCGGGGGTGGACGGCTTAGCCCTGGTACTCATTGGAAGGTGCTTATGAGCAGTCCCTCCTCTAGGCTTCATAGACCCTCACCCTACTTCACAAATAATTGTTCCCCTGGTTAGAAAAGTAACGTTGGTCCATTCCTTGGGATAGTTGAAGAGTGCAGGAATGCACCCCAGAAGCAGAAAGACGTGTAGGGGAGTCTACCTCTTCCCCCCAGCTCTCGCCCCAGGGCAGTTGAGCGGCTGATGAGGAGGGCTTAGCGGGTGGGAGCTCGGAGGCCCCAGGGCCCTGAGCAAAGCCCAGACCCAGGTGCCAGCTGCCCGTGCTGCATCCTTAGGCCCGTCGCCGAGTCACTGAGCCAGCAGTTCCTGCACAGTTCCGAGCTTTCTTGAGCTTCGGTGCCCCGACTCAAAGTCCCAAGAGAGATCTAGCATCAAAATGGGGAAAGTTGCCCCCAGACTCTGAGGCGGTGGAAACAGGTTTCCCCACGTCTATTTAGGGGACATTTGGGGCCCCTGCGTGTGGAGTGGGAGAGCCTGGGTTCACCTTCCCTAGCCCTGGCATGGGCGACAAGGCTCCATGCCCCTGATAGCCCATCCGATCCTGCTTAGTAGGAGAAGGCGTTGTCTTCATCTTAAAGATTGGTAAACTGAGGTCAGCTCCTTTTGCTCCAGGCATCAAGCATGAATCTGGGCCAGAGGCTGCCGACAGTGCTTGGAATTTTTGGCCAAATACAAGGGGAGAGGGAAAGCCTGAGGTTGGAGTCCCCCCACATCTGGGGTTGAATCCCAGCTCTGCCAGCTCTCCCAGCTCTCTGAGCCGGGAGACACTGATCTTCATCTGCAAAATGGGTAATAATACCATCTCCCCAGGTTGCTGAGATGATGAAATGAGGTGCCGCACATAAGGCTCTGAGAATGGGGCTCAGTGGATGATGGCCTTTTCCTGACTATGGTTAATTACCACAGGCTCCAGGGTTAGGCAGGCACTGCCCAGACACCAGTACAGCTGTGCTCTGGGGGGCTGCGTTGTGTGGCCACCTCTCTCCAGCGAAGTGCCGTCCTGTCCAGCAGGCTCCTCCCTGCAGGGCAGGCACCACCTCCCACACAGACTTACCTTGACCTGCGATTCAGTCATGCCCAGGGAGTATGCCAGCCGCGCCCTCTCAGGGCCAGCCAAGTACTTGGTCTGCTCAAAGGTTTTCTCCAGGGCAAAGATCTGGTGCCCCGTGAAGGTGGGCCGGGTGTGCTTCTTCTTGTGTATGCTGTCACTTAGGGGATCTGGGGCTGGCAGGAGGAAGGAAGTGTGGGGTTAGTAGAGTAAGTGGGGACCCTGAGGCTAGGCACCACTGTCAGGGCAACAACCATGCCCGTCCTCTCCTTCCTGCAGAGGTTGCCAGGACACCAAGATTCCTTTCCCCTGAGCAGCATTCTTGATATTGGAGAACAGTGACTGTGACCTCTGCCCCGCCTGGGTGGACAGGGCTCCAAGAGGGCAGCTATCCTAGGGTAAGGGGACTGAGGGGCAGCAGAGCCTCATGCCTCTCTGTCTAAATTTCTCAGTACTCACTGATGCTGCCTTCTCCTGAGGGACAACAGGAGTTCCTTCTCTGTCCCAGGGATGTCCCTTTAGGTCACCCTTCTCCTATAATTAGGGACCGGGGCCTGTGAATTCCCTCCACCCCTGGCTTCTGCCAACTTCCTTGCTCTTGAGACCTTACTTCCCAGGTCTCCAGGAAACCAGGGAGGGGGAACCCCAAGCCCCAAGCTGCCCCAAGCTTCCCCATGTCACCAGGCCTGGAAGTTATGTGGCTTAAACCACCCTGGAGAGCCTGGAACAGAGGCCAGAGGCCTCCAGCCTGGCCAGGGCAGCCGGCTTGAGAAGGAGTCGTGGAAAGTGGGCTCAGGGGAGTCAGAATTCCCATGTGTCAGGCCTCGTTCTGTGCAGTCTGACAGCTCAAGTTACAGGTGAGGAAACTGAGGCACAGAGAGAGGAAGGGCCCTCCTGAGAGATCATCTTCAAGTCTGTCTGCCTTTGCCTTCATTAGCCACTGACTTTCTTGGCTATGTCCCTGTGTGTGTACCTGCATTCAGGACTGAAGAGGTAGTGTGTGGGATGTGGACAGGGGAGGGGGAGATGGAGGGAAGAGAGAGCCAGCTGAGGCTTAAAGCGCCCCCGAAGCCAGGCTTAAAACAGGATCCGAGAGAGGAGGCCTTCACCTCAAGGGGCACAGGGATGGGTGGCAGCCCATGGAGGGGTGGCTGTCAGGCAGTGTGACTGGCAAGGTAGCAAATGGGGGGACAGATGTGCTTTTGGAGATTCCTAGGTTGGCCCCAAGCCCCTATTGGCGTGGGGGAGCCCAGGGATGAGACAGAAGTGGAGGCCCCTGCCTGACGTGGGCAGGGCTTCAGTGGCACAGGGAAGGTTCCAAAAACTCTCACCTCCCTGCCTCCCACCGGAGCCTCACCTGCCCGGGCATGCCCTGCCACCTCCTCCAGTAACCCTGAATGGCATCACAGGCCCACCCTCTGAAAACCTTGGCTGAGGGATGGGTGGGCTGAGAAGAGGCCCCCTGCTTCCCCACAGCCAGGACCAAATTCAGCTGGGCTCAGCAGCAACTCCCGGAGACAGGCTACTTGGTGCGGCTGCTGTTGCTAGAAACCAGAGGATGTGGTGGGCATCAGTCCCCTGGCTCAAAGGCTGGACCTGGATGGGGTCAGGGTGCATTCTGCACCCCTGAGTGATGCCAGGGCTGTCTGGGAAGGTAAGCTGGGATGTCTTCCTCACAGGGTAGCATTTGCCTGCTTTGGGTGAAGAAGTGGATGCATGCACCCTGGGCTGCAGAAGCGAGCTAGGCTGCCTGCTGGACCCTGCAGGTGTGGGCTATGGGGCCTTCTCTAGATCTGGAACTGCCGGAGGCCCTAGGAGGGCAGCTAAGGGGGCAGCAGGTGAGGGGGGTGGCTCAGACACCTGTGTCCAAGCACTGCTGGATGGGAAGGAAGAGCGGGTGGAACTCAGCCTGCACTGAGCTGAGGCCACAAGTCCAGGGATTAATGGTGGCTGGGGGAGAAGGCAGTGGTGTGGGGTGCCCGGGAGGAGGCCCCTCCTCGTTCTCTGCCCCTCGGGGCCTGGTGGGTGCGGGTAAGTGGCTGGGGAGGCCCCGTACTCACTGTTGCTGCACTGCCGACTGCCTCGCCAGTCCTGGCCGGTGTCCGCCCAGCAGTTCCGGGTCCGGGTGGGGTACTCGTTTCCAGCCTTGGAGAAATTTCCTACCTGGGGGCTGTAGTAGACCCCCTGCGAGGTGAGCCCCCCGAAGCCTGCCACGTGGGAGTAGCCGGAGAGGAGGCTGCTGTTCGGTGCAGCCACGGGCCTGCTCAGGATGTCCGTGATCCCGTGGGGGGTCCCCGCGGCCAGCTGGGGGCCCAGCCCCGGGGGGCTGAGCTTGTAGAAGGAGTTCTGCACTGAGTACTGGCACACAGGGGCCTTCATCTCCGGAAACTGAGCCAGCGGCGTGTTGTTCAGCAGGAAGGTCCCCTGCAGGTTGGACTCCATGATGTCCCAGTCAGGACGGGGAAGGCTTCTCCAGGCCCCTAAAACCCAAGAGCCCACACTCTAGCCCCAAATCTCATGGCAGGCCTGGAGGGTCAGGACCAACTCTGAGCCCCTGACTGCCTCCCACCTAAGGCCTCGGCCAGGCCCTGGCCCAGGCACCGGCACCCGGTCAGCTGCTCGGAAGTCAGGTGCTCGGGGCAGGTGAGAGGCCTCCCCGGGGCTCCTGGCCTCTCTCCTTGCCCTGGCTGGACTGGGTGGCCCCCTACGCCTCAGCTCAGACCCCCTTTCTGCCTCTGAGTCTGGGGACCCTACATGAGAAGTTTTAAGTTCAGAGAAGGAACATTTCCCAGATAAAGATACGGCCCATTAGAATACAGGCCCGAGACTGGCTGAGCCGCCGGAGCCGCGCCACCATTGGTCGGGGAACACACGGGCCTCACATTGGCTTTTCCTAGACAAATTGCACTTTGAAAGATTGACTGTAAAATCAGCCAGGGTGTGTGTGTGTGTGTGTGTGTGTGTGTGTGTGTATGTGTGTGTGTGTGTGTGCGTGCGTGCGCGTGCGTGTGTGTGAGAAACACAGAGAGCGAATTAGCTCTAGAAGCCCTGCTCATCGCCAGAGGGTCCATCTGCTCCCCGCAAGTCTAGCATCTAGGAAAAGATGAGTGTCTTGGGGGCCCCGGGAGTCTCCCAAGCAGCTGTTTCCCTGGGGGAGATGAGGCTGAACTCCGAGGCCACTGTCCAGAGCTGCGCCGGCCCCTTTATGTGCAGATGTCCAAGCTCCACAGAACACAGCCTCTTCCTTCCGTTCCTCACGGGGGGATGGGGTAAGTGGCTTAAGATTGGGTAAGTGTGGGGATGGGGTAAGAGGCCGAGTGGCATTGCTTTCTGGGGGATGCAAGTCCCTGTGGCTTGCTTGAGAGCCTAGGGTGGGAGCCTGCTGGGCAGAGGGCAGGGTGGGGCATGGGCAGCCCTGACAGTGCCGGGGTGTGCCTCCCCCAGCTGCAGGAGGCTGAAAAGAGGGCCACCCTGCGCACCTGTTTTTGCCTCCACCTCTAGTCGGCCTTCCCTGACCTCCCTATCAGAATCTCTTCCTCATTTGTGCCTCGGCTGGAGCAATGGCCATGCTCTGTCTGGTGTGGTGCCCAGTTTTGAAATCCCTGATGGCTGAGAGGGTGGTGGAGCCCCGTGCCAGGCACTCTGTCGGTGCTCAGTTAGTAGTTGATGCACGGGACTGGGCTGAATCACAGAGCATGCATATGCTTTTTTTTTTCTTGAATAAATTTTTATAATGTACAAGGCTTTATTGAGGGAAACTCTCATTTTACAAACAGGGAAACCAAGGTATAGAGGAGTTGGAGCCAACGTTCCAGGTATATGGGTGATTTCTGGACTGGGCAGGATTCTTCCCTGCAGTTTTTCTCTAAAAACGGAAACTAGCATGCCAGTGGCCTGAACATGTAAAATGCCAGGAAAGATTGTGACTGCCAGACAGATGGACTTCTGCTCATCTCTGTGCCTGGTGGCCCCAGAGCCCTTCCTGACCAGGCATGAGCTCTGCAGAGCTTGATCTCTCACTCCCAGAGGCTGCCCTGGTAGGTGGGAGACGAGAGGCACTGCTTCACTGAGCTTCTCCTGGGTTTCCAGACCATCTTCGTTTTCAGTGGGGAGCAGAGGACCCCAGGGCTCAGGGCGAGCTTCCTTCTCACGCAGAAGCTGACCCTCTGTAGCAAAAAGATTTAGGTTATGCAAGAAAGACCTCACAAAGGGTGTGGAATGATTCTCTACAAATTTGGTTTAAAAGGAAAAGAGCTATGTCTTCGTCTGAGATGGCTTTGCCCCCAGGCTGAGTGCCACAGCCATCTGATAGACCTGGTTCTGGTTCTCAGCGTCACCACCCAATCCCACCCAGGCAACTGTGATTCTGAAACTGCGTTTTGAAAAGCCCCCTGGGTGCTGCAGATGACCTGCTGCGATTGCCCACTGGCCTGGATGGCCTCTCCGATTCCAGGAGAGAGGCTTGGAGCGGGGTGGGACTGGGGTGCTCCAGGGGCCTTGGGATTGTGACTCCGTCACCCCCTCATGATGGGGAATTTATGTGGCAGGAAAGCCACAGCCAATGATTTGATTCTTAATTAATGCCAAGCCTGACAAAGGCATTGGTGTCTGGCACCCCTAGGATGAGAAACTGAAGAGACTTTAGCAACCACCTAATCCATTCTTCCATTAGACAGATGAGGAAACCGAGGTCAGCTTGGTGACCAGCCTTGCAGGAAGTGTTAGCGACTAGTTAGAAACAGGACAATTTTTTCCCTACAGCAAGAAAAAGTTCTTGAACTTTGAATGGCATTGAGTACTGGGGCCAGATGCCTTCCTAGGGAACGCTGGGGAGCACCCTCAGTGCATGCCAGCTGGGGGCCTGGCCAAGAATCTTAGTGAGTTGTGGTGCCCCCTCCCCCGACCCCCAGCTTTTCCCCATCCCATGGGAGCCATCAGGTGGAATAGAAATCTACTCTGCCACCTCTCTGGAGGCCTCTCCCAGGTCAGGGGTCCTGATTAAGGGATTGTCCAGGCTTCTGGGAGGACTGGGCATTGGCAGGCTCTCTGGGACCTGAGCCCCACCCATAGATTCCTTCACATCCCAACCCAGGCTTTAGGCTGGCCTCAGCACCCCTTACCCCCTAAAGACGAGCGGGAAGGAGAGATAGAGCCCTGTGCCATTAGTCCATTTCTTTATTAATTTTGACATTGGTTCGGCTGGTGTAGGGAGAATGGTCTATACATCAGAGTGGGGTAGGGGATTCTCTCCCATAACAGAGCATGTGGGAGAGTCAAGAAAAGATCCATTTTCATAACAATTTAAAAAATCAAGGTAATTTCAAAACTTCTAAAAAGCGTCTAATGTGCAGACTGCAGCATTCTCTAGGCATCGTGTGGAGACCCCAAACTCCTCCCCTAACGGCTCCTACTAGCAGCCGGAGCGTGCAGCCATGCCAGCCGGAGCAGAGGTGCCAAAGCGGAGCCTGGAGCCGCGGGGCCCGCGGGGGCGCTAAGGGGGCTACTGGGTTGGCTGCAGCGGCGACCTGGGAGAGGAAGGTGCAGGATCGAGGCGGGGGAGGCGAGCCCTGTGCCCAGCTTCCTTGGGCCGTCATCGAATCGGTCCCAGCCGCGCTGCGCGACCGCCCTGCCGTGGCCCCCGGGATGGGGGGAAGGATGGGGGCGCCTCTGCGCCCTGGAGGCCGGGCCGGGGTGGCCTCTGGCGGCGACGGCAGCCGTCCAGGCTCGCCCTGTAGGTCTTCAGAGGCAGCCTAGGGGAAACTGAGGCCCGGAGCTAGAGCTTCCTCTCCCTGCCCGCCCCTCTAAGGAAGCAAAAGCAGCCCCGCCCCCGGCAGACAAGGTGCTTCGGCCGCCCCGGGGCCTGCTCGGCCCTGGGTGCATCGGGGCGGACTTGTGGGGGAGGCAGGGCCCCTCTCCGCTCACAGGCCCCGCGGCCAGGGGGCCTCTGACGTGGAGGGGGCTTCTGTGCTACTTGGAAGGTTTAAGGGTGTCCCAAGGACACTCCCGCAGAGCGGCGGGGCGGACGAGGCCAGGCCGTCCACACCGCGGCTCCGGGGTCGAGAGGAGCCAGCCCTGTCTCTCTCTCCTGGCCCTGGGGACGCCCGCCGCGAGGGCGGGCAGGGATTGTGCTGATTGGGGCCTCCCTGGGCCGGAGGCTCTAGTGGAACTTAAGGCTCCTCCCTGATGGCACCGAGGCGAGGAACTGCCAGCTGTCTGTCTCCTTTCTGCCCTGACCCAGAGCCTGGCCCCAGCCTCTTGGCGTCCAGGCTCTCTGCCACCAACTCTGCTACCACTGGTCATGCGATCCAGGGAGCTCCCTGGCTGGCCTCTCCAAGAGGCCACAGGGGCTGGGCAGAGGGGAGGCACCGAGGCAGACAGGGAACAGCCTCGAGCCTGGCACCTGCACCCAGGGCCCCCAGCCTGCAGGCTGCCTGGACTTAGAGCACCAAGTTCACTCTGGGAGACCGTGGGTGGTCCTGACTTTTAAGAACTGGCAGATACATTCACTAGCCCTACTCCTTTCCTTCCTCTTTCACTGAAAGGCAGGCCACAGCTCCTTCTCCTGAAGCCACAGAAGTCCTCAGGAGCTGTGCTGTCAGGCTCTGTACATACTGCTAAATGTTTCTATTGGTTTGCATAGTATTTATTGTTTTTCATATACACAAGGCTGATTACTGTACAGTTTACACTTTGAACACGGACTATGATATAGTGCTTGAAGATATAGAAAATCTCTTCTCTATGGACATGCTGGTGCAATCCTGGGTCAGCCACCCGCCCGTCCCCCGACTGAGAGAGGAGACCCTTTCAGATGGGGTCCTGGCTCCCTTTGAGCCCTACAGGTAAGCCTGGGAGTCCTCGCCTCAGATTCTTAAGTCCCTAACACAAGGAACCCCGAATGCACTCTCAAGGTAATGATTTTCCGTTGGAAGATGACTTGTACTGAAATTGGCAGAGAGAGAGAGAGAGAGACAACATAAAAAATTCCAGTTTATCCACAGCAGAGTCTATACAGCTTCAGAAGTCACAGTAAAATCTGTGTGTAGATTCAGTGGAGGCGAGTGGTGTGTGTGTGTGTGTGTGTGTGTCCTGAATGTCATGTAGAGCGATCTGGCAGGAGCGTCACCAGGGAGTGGAGGGGGTATCACAAGTGGAATGGAGGTGTGTAGGTTGGATTGGGGAGGGTGGGCAGATGAGGACATGGCTTAAGATTAAGGTGGCTAAACTGATTACATGCCTAGTTTTCTTTCTTTCTTTTCTTTCCAGGAAGCCCACATGGATTTCTGACAGATGAGGTCGGGAAAAAGTACCCTGTACGAAGTCAAAACAACTAAAAAAAAACCCCAAAAACCAAAACCCATCCCCAGCCACAAAAAGCCCTCATTCACTTTTGCGTTCACACGCTCTCTCGCGCCTGTTTTCTATCCCTCTCTCTCCCCGCTTCTTGCTCCTTTTGTGTCCTGGTTCCGACAGATCAGCTGTCATTGCAAGAGGCAGGATTGAAGCCTGGAGGTCATGCGTCTACAGTCAGTCATTCATGCGAAGAGGGGACTAGCGGGAGTCCCTTACAGAGGTCATGCCGTCAGCCCAGAGGAACGTGTGCACCGCTGCGGTGGCCCTCAGGTCCAGCTCTCCTCCTGTGTGCATGGCAGAGTGTGTGGGGTTCAGGGGTTGGGTGTCGAGGTGTGATCCTGGGAGACACAAAGAGAGAAGGGGTCACTTAGAATGCAAAAGGGCAACATCCAGCAAAAACCCTACACACAGAGTTTTGTGCTGGCAGCTCAGGCCGAATCTGACTCAGAAAACACAGTCTCCCCAGGCAAGGCGACGTGCAGAGGGTGCTGCTCTTGCAGGCCCAACCTCCTGAGATGCTGCCCTCCTTCTCTTGCTCCTTATGCAGAGGCTGTTCCTCAGAGCCGCCACATAGGCCTCATGAATTCCTTCTGAGTGCTCGAGCGCTCCAGGATGCCTCTCTGTATGGGCCAAGGACAGCGCTGTGCTCCATGTCCTGGGAGAGGAGCAGAGGCCCCTGTGCCTATGTGGTCACCTGGGAAGACATCCCCCCAGCAGATCCTTGTACTTAGGAAGGGCCATTTTTCTTGAGCCAGGGCTTCTGCCAAGAAGGGGCTAGGTGAGGCTAGGTGACACCTTCACTTTCTCAGTTCAGCTCTGCCAACATGCACTGATGTCTGCCATGCGCCAGCCTTGGGGACCCAGGGATGGTGCGGACAGGCGCCCTGGTTTTGGGAGCTCATGCTTCAAGGGTGACAGCTCCCCTTCAGCTCTGGTCCACAGTTCTTCCTGACTGCTGCCTCTGGCTGCTCTCCCCATTCCCCTCAGATGGACAAGACCTCTGAAAAGCAGATGCATCCTCCTCTCCTCCTCCTGTATTGAGTCCTAGTCTGGAGAAGAGCAGATTTGCTGGAGGAGCTAAGCCTACATTCTTCAGCCTGGGATTCGCAGTGAGAAAACTCTCCTGTTCCCATGGGGCCTCCAGCCTCCAACCTGGGGTGAAAACTCCATGTTTTCAAGACCAGCCACTCATGTTCTATCTGCAGGGACCCTGGGACCACTGGGGAAAGGAGGATGCTTCAATAGGGAGAAGGTGACAATCTCTTGGGCAGGGCAGGAAGTGACACAGGGGGGCAGGAGCTCATCCCCAGGTGGTGCCATCCCCAGACATGGAGCTGTCTTGGGTTCTCCAGGTGAAGGTGTTGGGGAGGAGTGTTGGAAGGGAGCAGGGAGAACTCAGCTCTTGGGTGGTTCCCCAGGGATGGGAGGGTGGTGCCGGGTTCCTTGCCAGGGGCTGCTGTAGAACTGTAAAACCAGGAACTGCTGCCGCAGTGGGTGGACAGTGCTGTCACCATAGAGGGAAGATGCTTTCATCACTGCCGGGCCATCACATCAGTCAGGCCTGACTGTCTCCTCTAAGCCTCTGAACATGCTCTACCCTCCTGTTCTCTGCCTTTGGTCATGCTTCTCCTGTCAAGGCTGCCTTCCACTCTCCTTTCTGCAGAGGTTCTGCCTGCCGCCCTCAACATTTCCACCCCACAAAACTTTCCTGATCCTTGGAGCAGACCCCTCTCCACTCTGGAAGCTCTCCCTTTTGTATTTTGTAAAAATACAAAATACAAAAAAAAAAAAAAAAAAGAGAGGCTGCCTTTTCTGATCGGGAGATGGCAGAGTCGAATGGGTAAGAACATGAACTCTGGAGCCAGACCACCTGGGTTCAAGTCCCGTGCTGCCTGACCTCAGTCAAGTGCCGTACCCGCTCTGTGACTCAGTTTTCTCTGCTGTACAATGAGGGCAGTAATAGGACCTACCCATTAGAGAGGTGTGATGTTTAAAAAGGCTAAGACACATAGGTGCTTAGCATTGTATGCATGTGAACAATTACTTGGCTCTCTAGAAATGTTACCGTCTCTGTCTGTTTGTGCTTTTTGATGTCTGCATACTTCCCTGGTTGGATTAGAAACACCGAGGGCAAGAACAGCCTCCTGGTGCTCCCCACGGTGCCTGCCCCAAGGGGAAGCACTCCTCAAATAAGAGACCATCATGGAATGTGCAGCCTAGGAAAGATAGTCTAGGATTTCCCATCTACTTTACTGCCCAGGCACTGAGCAGAAGAAAAAGTTCAGACCTCAGAGATCATGCTGGCATGACTGCCCATTTCATCCCTTGGTAAACTGAGACTCTGGAGGTGCAGTGGCAAGAACAGGGGTGGGATGAGGATCTAGGTCACCTCACTCTGCTCAGGACTCCTGCATTGTTCTGACCTCTTCTCCTGGGTCCCCTCACCTTTCAAAAGGTTAGAAAAGAGTCTCTTTCATTCTTTATTTTTATTTCATTTAGAGACAGAGTCTTGCTCTGTTGTCCAGGCTAGATTGAAGTGGTACAATCATAGCTCACTGCAGCCTTGAACTCCTGGGCTCAAGCGATCCTCCCACCTCAGCTTCCCAAGAGGCTGGAACTACAGGTGTATGCCACCATGGCCAACTAATTTTTAAATTATTTTTAGAGACAGGGTCCTACCACATTGCCCAGGCTCATCTCAAGTGGTCCTCCTGCCTCAGCTGAGATTACAGGCATGAGTCACTATGCCCGGCCCTAGACAGCCCTTTCACAAACATAAACTCAGCAACCATCATAACCATCCTACAAGGGAAATGCTGGCATTATTGCTATTTTATGGCTAAGGAACCTGAGGCTTAGGGAGATCATTTGACTTGCTCTGAGTCACACTACAGACAAGACCTGCAATTATTTGAGTCCCAGGGCATATATGTTCTTACTTACTCTCTTCACATCAGTGCTCACAGTTACCATTATTATTTTGAAACCTTTTTCTTGAAGTGTAACACATCGAAAGGGACTATTTTCATCCTCCCTTGAGGAGACTGAAGCTCAGGGCTTTTAAATGACTTAAGGCCATACAACCTGGAAGCAGGAGGAAGAGGCCTTAATTCTAGACACACAAGCTCCAGCTTTCACTCTTTGAAACAAATACAGCCCATTCTAGTCATTTGCAATAGCTCTGTTCTATAAATTAGTCACTGTTTGAGGCTACACACAGTGGCTCATGCCTGCAATCCCAGCGCTTTGGGAGGCTGAGGAGGGCAGGTTGCTTGAGGTGAGGAGCTCGAGACCAGCCTGGCCAACATGGTGAAATCCTGTCTCTACTAAAAATACAAAAATTAGCCAAGGGTGGTAGCACACGCCTGTAATCCCGGCTACTCAGGAGGCTGAGGCAGGAGGATTGCTTGAACCTGGGAGATGGAGGTTGCAGTGAGCCAAGATAGTGCCACTGCACTCCAGCCTGGGCAACAGAGCAAGACTCCCTCTCAAAATATAAATAAATAAACAAATAAGTCGCTGTGAACATGGAATTAGCGAATACTGAACCACTGCTCCTAAGGGAAATACAAGGTTAGGCTCCCGCGAGCCTCTGACCACAATATTTTGGTCAACTGATGAATACATAACTTTGTCTTAGGTGCGTTTCTGTTTCAAGACACCTTATGTAATATACAGGGTTGACTCATTAACACTGACTTCACCAGCACAGGCACTCTAACTCATCCCTGAGCAGAGCTTATCTGATGTCCATTCTCTCCTTAAGGAACATCGCAGCCTTCTTGCGCTTCACACCAGACAGCGTTTCCCTCAGGGGCCATTCTAAACAATGAAACCAAAAATTCGAAAAATGTGGCACTACACAAGCTGTGAGGAGGACACTTATTTATAGTATGAAACACCGAGGCAGAGTGTGGCTTTGTCCATCCTCAGCTGGGACTGCACGTGTTGGGCGACTCAAACTTTTTGCCCCTGTGTGCATGCCCATGAATGAGCAAAAGCACGGTGAGTGTCAGCTTTGGGGCTACAGATAAATGTTAATAAGTAGGCGAATTCGCAAATGCCGAATCGGTGAATGATGAGGATCGACTGTACATGCTCGTCGGGGGTGGGGGCAGTAAATTAGAAAGCCTTCGGGCCCTCAACCGTCTTCTCTGTAGCCTTAGCCCTGGTTGGGAGGGTAGGGCATTTAATGCTGTCCCCTAACCCTCTGGGACTTCAGCAGGAGCTTTTCTCCGCCTCTCCCTCGCCACTGCGCTCGCCCCTCCTCGCCCCCTTCCCCTGCCGCCACTGTCACACTTGTCCCTGTGCCTGTCACTGACAGAGGGCAAAGTGCTGTCCCAGAGCCGGGCTGCTCCGTGTTTCTGACACCCACGCTAGTGTGGTCTGGTCCTTAATCACCTGGGGTGGGGGCTTCAGCCACACTGCTGATCATTTACAGCAAATTAAAATGAAATTCAAGGCTCCCTCCTTCCCCCTAGAATGGCTTTTGGGCTGCCTCTCTCCCGCTCAGGAGCATCCATAGAACCTGAGCCAAACAGAAATCTAAAGCCACAGCTGCCACTGCTACCATAAGAAAAACAAGTCAGAAGACTGTACTCTTCCTTTCCGTTTGCTGCTTTTAAACATTATTTGCATCTTTGGGTTCTTTCCAGGACCCAACAGCAGCTACTCAGAGTCTTCTAAACCAGCAGCCTAGTGGGACCCCTGGCAGTGCAGGGGTTAACACGGTGACCTCCTTAAGCTGCTGAGATGTCAGGTCTAATTTTATCCTATAACTGGATCTGCCAGTCCTCTTTTTTGCCCAAGTGCTGAGATATATCGGGAAGCCCAGAGTCAGCACTTTTGGTGGCTCAGGAGGCAGCGGGCCCTGATTTTTGCCGAAAGCAGAAAGCCAGAGCCTCCTTGCTGCTCGGCCCCAGAGTCAGGCCCTGGGGTGTGAATGGTAACGACCCGGTTAGTGCTGCACTGGGGCCACTATGCCCCCTCACCTCCTGCTGACTCCCACCCCGAGGTATCCTGTACTGAGCTGCCCCGAGCTGGGCAGCATGAAGGGCCTCGGGGCAGCTCAGTACAGGATGCCCCAGGGAGGATGGAGATCAGAGCCGGCCACTGAAGCCCCCAGCACCGCACACACCTGCTGGAGACGGTCGCGATCGTGCAGCGTCTTCATGTCCCTCCCTCATGGCACGGCACGGCACGCCACGACCCCGCTCCGTGGCCACACTACCCCATGCTCACACACATGCACCATGGCCCAGGCCCCAACCCTGACGGTCTCCTGACTTGCAGAAAGCATGTCGTCCACCCCTTAGGCCTGTCAGCTCAGCCCTTTCCTAGAAAGCAAGGGAGCAACATGTTTCACAAAACACCAAGGAGAAGCTAAGCCTTGGCCAGGTCAGAACTGTAGCTGGGCTCCAGGTTCAAGAGACAGTCCAGTCCTCAGTCTTGGAGCTCTTATGTTGAAACATCACAGCCCAGACAGACTCTCCTGTCCTCTCCAGTGCCCTGTCCACCACCTTCTAGACCCCCATTGCTTGGTTTCCAAGATAATATTACCACTTAGATTTGCAGAGTGCTTTTACTCTTCAAAGAGCATTTTTTTCTTTCTGGCTTTTTGTTTTTTTTTGAGATGGGGTCTTGCTCTGTTGCCTAGGCTGGTCTTGAACTCCTGGCCTCAAGCAATCCTCTCGCCCCGACCTCACAAAATGCTGGGATTACACATATGAGCCACTGTGCCCGGCCCAAAAGGCATTCTTACAAAACCGTGCGGTCCCTGTTAAGTGGATGTTATTAACTCTGTTTCCTTGATGAGGAAGCTGGGGCTCAGAGCCGCTGTTAGTAGGGCTGAGAAGCAAGAATCTCTGCCTCGAGACATAGCCGCAAGTTGTTTGTCCCACATCATGCTAGGGTGGCTGGGAGGGGATCGGGTGAGACAGGGAGCAGCCACTCCACCAAAGAACAGGCCATGCAGAGGGGATGAGAAGGGCTGCGTTACCTCCCGAGAGGCTACTCCAAGGAGAGCGGCTCGGGGTCACTGTTTCCCCCTTTTCAGGCTGGCCCGCTTCACTATCTGCGCCCCTTTCCTGCCCTCTATCAGGTCCGGTTGTAGGCCACTCCCTCTCAGCTCCACCTGCAGACAGCAGCAGAGACAGAAAGCAGGATAGATGGCAAAGATGGGCAGAACACAGGCAGAAAATTGAAAGGAGGCTACACGGAGGCGGCAGACACACTGCCCACAGGGGAGAAGGGAGACTGGAGGGAGAGCTCATGAAGAGGTGAGTGGAGGGAGGTGTCACGCAGATGGCCCAGCAAGATGGGCAAAGCGAGGCGGCAGTGATGGCGCTGGGTCCCCCAGGGCCGCGGGAGCCTCAGTACCTTGGCATGTTTCATAAAGGAATCAATATCGACCTCCAGCTCACTGGGATCCTCCAGGGGCCCCGTGACAGTCACCTCCTCGTGCTCCTGGGCAGCGTCGGCGCTGGACGAGTCTATCTGCCGAACCACCTTGCGAATGATCTGGGAGAGGAAGGGAAGGAGGAAAGGGCTGGTCAGGCCGGGCACGGGGGCTCATGTCTGTAATCCCAGCACTTTGGGAGGCTGATGGGCAGATCATCTGAGGTCAGGAGCTTGAAACCAGCCTGGCCAACATGGTGAAACCCTGTCTCTACTAAAAAGACAAAAATTAGCCGGGTGCGGTGGCAGGCACCTGTAATCCCAGCTACTCAGGAGTCTGTGGCAGGAGAATCACTTGAACCTGGTGGGTGGAGGTTGCAGTGAGCTTAGACCACACCACTGCACTCCAGCCTGGTCGACAGAGCAACACTCTGTATAAAAAAAACAAAAACAAAAACAAAAAAACGCTGGTCAAGCCCTCAAGAGCAGGTCCCAGGAATGAGCTCCGAGTGGGGGAGGTAGCCTTTGTCCTAGGAGCCCCTCCTTGAGAGGCCAAGAAGAGGGACAGCCTTTGCCCCATCGCTTTACGGAAAATTCTCTGCCAGACAGCCCTGAAGGGGCCTTGGCAGTGCCATTCCATGACCAAGGTGTGACTGGGTGTGGCCTCCCCCTTGAGCCCACAGCCTTCTGTTTTGCTTTTTGGTATGGATGGAAGTTTGCGCTCTTCCCCATTCTACTCCCAGGCGCCTAAGGGCAGAGGGCATCTCTTTTTCGCCCACCCACTCCTGTATTCACCTGTCCAAATATTCAAACCCTTTGCTCTGTACCTGCCATGTGGTCTGAGTGGGAGATGAAACATCAGCCAGACACGGTCCCTGCCTGCAAGCAGCTCACAGTGCAGGAGGAAAGACAGACGCACAAGCAGCCTCGCTCCAAGGTGATGCGAGCTGCCCCCCAGCAGAAGCACATTCGAGACCCTGCCTTGGCTCCTTCTCTCTTTTACCCATAGCTAGCACCGTGCCCCATACTTGACAGGCAAGATCATGTCTCTGAATTAATATCTGCTACCAATCCAATGCGTTTTTCACTTCCTTTAAATTATTTAATTATGGTGACGGGGTCTCGCTCTGTCACCTAGGCTGGAGCTGGAGTACAGTGGCTCAATCAAAGCTTATGCAGCCTTGAACTGCTGGGTTTAAGTGATCCTCCTGCCTCAGCTTCCTGAATAGCTGTGACTACAGGCATGCGCCACCATGCCTGGCTAACTTTGTGTGTGTGTGTGTATTTCTTTCTTCCTTTTTAAAAAATTTTTTAGAGATGAAGTCTTGCCATATTGCCCAGGCTGATCTAAATGCCTGGGCTCAAGCGATCCTCCTGCCTTGGCCTCCCAAAGTGCTGGGATCACAGGTGTGAGCCGACACACCTGCCCACATCCATTTTATTTAAGGAGGCCCATGGTAGGCCTGGGATGCTCAAACTGCTTGTTTAACAGCTGTTTTCAGGGTTAGGTATCATGGGACTAGGTCTGGGATATTTCCTTGGGGCCGGCCCTTCTGGAAGGGAGCAGCAGAAGCTATTCAGGTTGACTCAGACAAAGCAGTTGTGAGGACACCGTGTCTGGACTGCAGATGACCAAAGCTCCCAGCTCCTGGGCCCTCCATCCCTCTTGGGCGCGGGGGCAGCCAGCCTGGCCGTGCTCACCTGCTGTGAGGGCAGCAGGGAGAAGCTGCTGGCTTCTACCGCCTTTTAGCTTCTAGCCCACCTGCCTGTCCCCAGCACAGAGGGGAACAACACTCTACACCCACCTTCTTGGTGACAATGTTGCCCTGCTCATCCGTGAACTGCTCCTCTGTCACTTGCTCCCCTGGAATATTCTGAAACTCATTCCCCTGGAATTAGAGAAGAGGAGAAAATGCAAGATTGGTGAGTGGGAGTCTGGGAGGAAGAGTGGAGGAAGAGGAAATGAAACAGCAGCAGCCAAAATAGCCATGGCCCAATAACTCCCCCAGCAGGAAACTCCGGCTCAGCATGCAGCGGGAGCCACGCCAGGGCTCCCAGGGCGTGGGAGACGCCCCTGAGGGTCTGGGAGGCCTGAAGATGAACAGCCCAAGCTTGCAATTGTGCACTCGGCCCTCACAACACCCCCTGGGAACCGGCAAAATAGAGGCAATTATGCAAGTCTGACGGAGGAGGCCCTGAGAGAGGAAGTGAGGCACCTGTTTCCTATTTTTACAGCACTTTGCAATATAGAAAAGCCCTTCAACAGGCAGCATCACCCAGAATGTGACTTGCCCGAAATCCCAGAGCCAGTTGGTGATAGAAACAGGACAATCCGGGTGCAATCCCATGGTGGCACATGCCTGCAATCCCAGCACTTTGGGAGGCCAAGGCCAGAGGACCACTTGAGTCCAGGAGTTCAAGACCAACCTGGGCAACATAGTGAGCCCCCGTCTCTACAGAAAATTTTTAAAAATAGCCAGGCATGGTGGTGTGTGCCTGTAGTCCTAGCTACTCAGAAGGCTGAGGTGGGAGGATCACTCGAGCCCAGGAATGTACAGTGAGCCCAGGTTACAGTGAGCCATGACCATGCCACTGTACTCCGGCCTGGACTAAAGAGCAAGACTTCACCTCTAAAAACAAAAGAAAAAAGAGAAGGGAAGAGAGAGAAAAGAGAGAAAGAGGAAAGAAACAAAGAAGGAAACAGGACGAGCACAGCCTCCTGAGACCCAAAGCTGAGTGTTTAATGTCACTGTCACAACGCACTGGGCACCAGAGGGCAGGTTCTGGTGGGCGCCATACACACTCTGGCTCCCATACACAACCTGATCCCGGGGGGACCTCCTGGTCCTTTTCTTCCAGTGTCTCCCAACTCTGGGTCCGGAGCTCCCCACAGCAGTGTCCCCTCAGCCCTGGCCTCTGGCGCCCACACCGCCAGCCCCGCCGGCCTCCTGCCAGGCGGTTACCTTCAGGAAGACCCGCCGCCGGACCACCCTGGTGGAGATGGTCTCCTCGTCGTCACTGACGCCCTCGCTCTCCCCCAGCTCCTTGTCCAGCTCCTGGTGGATGTGCTTCAGCACGAAGCACAGGGACCCCCTGACAATGTGCATCACGTTCTGACAGCTGACCAGGAAGAAACTCAGCAGCACCAGTGTGACCAGGAGCTGGGTGACGAAAGTCCACATCCTCACCTCCTCACCAGCCCGGTCCTCCGGGGACCAGAGCAGCCAGGGGCCGGACCGCCACGGGGGGCCCGCCTCTCATTCTCCACTGGGACTCCTGAGTCCCCCAGGGACCCCTTGCATTCCCCCTCCCTATCTCTCTGGTTTGCTCTCTTCGTCTCTCACTGTTTCTCTCTCTCTGGGTAGGACACCGAATGGCCCTCTCGGCTGAAGCAGCCCAGCCCAAGTGCCCTTCTGCCCAGCAGCCAGGCTCTGCCCTGAGTGGCCCGGGTGACATCACGCTCCTACAATTTTAGCTCCCCAAACCAGCTGCTGGAGCTGTCCAACCGGGCTAGAAGGAAGCTGGCAGGTGCCCATGTCCTGAGCACTGAAAGCACAAGTGAAAGTCACTGTGTGAGTGACACCCACTGCTGCCTAACCCCGCCCTGCCCCGCCCTGTCCAGAGAGCTGGAAGTGGGGGCTCGGCCTCTCGTCTATCCTGCCCGTCCCCATGGGAACTAGAAAGAGTTCTGCCCACGGAAAGTTTCTTACTTTCAGAAAATAATATGGCCCGAGAAACCAGCTACTTGTGTGTCTCCTCGGGCTGCTACTGCAGTGATCTGAATGATGTTCCCCAGCATGGTAGGGATGAGACCAGCTAATACCCTGGACACTTGTCTGTTTCAAAAATTGCCCCAAAAGGGTGAGTGATGGGCTCGTGGACAGTCAAGTGAGCCCAGCAGGGGCCCAGCACAGGTGGTGGGGCCACCTGGAAGCCAGTCTGTAATTCTTATCAGCTCGCAGGCTCTTGCACCCTTCCTTTACGGGGCACAGCCTCCCGAAACTGAAGCGTGGAGCTGGTGTGTCTATTTAAGGCCTGTCCTTAAAGGCTCTTCCAGGGCTGGGCTATCAACACCCACTGAACAGGAACCACGCATATTAACTCGTGTTTACAGAGCTGATTCACAAATGCAGCCGCAGCAGCTGTGGCTGGAAAAAATTTCACTTTCTAGATCAGGTTGTTCCTCTCTGAGTGGCAATGCAGCATGGCAGAAAGAACACAGATCTGGGACACAGCAGACTGACCCTGCAACTCACCTACTGTGGGGTCTTGGGAAGGCTGGGTACCTTCTCTGTGCCTCAGTTTCCTTATCTGTGAAGCAGGGATTAAAGTGCTCTCCCCACTCCTCTCCCTCAAGGCTGCTGGGACAATCATGCCGCTTTTGAATGCTAACACTATGAATAATAATGGCAAATGCTTGTGATAGTGCATGGTTCTTTGTGGATTTCACGTTAATTCAGAGACACCTTACCACAAGCCTAACCAAGGAGGTTCTATCGTCTTCCCGTTTTACACAAAGGAAACAGAAGTAAAGTATTCTGCCTAGGTAGAGGAGTAAGTAAACGGAGGAGTCACATTCCAAATGCCTTTCACTCCACAACGCTCCTCATTTCAACAAGAAAGCATGGGGAAAAGTATGTGCAAAGAAGCCAGGCATGGGGAAACATCTGGTTTTGGCCCAGTCAAGAAGAGTCCAACTTCAGATATTTCCTCCTAAGTCCTCAGGGAAATCAGCTGGGTCACAGTCATTTCAGGCCACCTCCCAAGTCCCAAGTTACAAGCAATCTCTCTATCTCCCTGTCACTGTTTTCAGAGGTCCAGTGGAAATACTAATAAGCGGGTGCTTTGCAAACCATCAGTCACCTTCAAGGGTCTCCTTATCAGCCCTTGGGGCCTGTGAGACAGGCACCGGCAGCAGCCTGCCAGGCCCTCCGATCAGCATCTCCAGTTCTGGGCTGGGCATGCTGGCCTTGCACGTGCATGCTGGACGTGAGGATGTAGGGCTTGGGAACTGGTCCCTGACATTGGTCCACTGTGTGACTCTGGAGAAAGCCCCTGGCTCCTCTGGTCCGCAGTGCCCTCGTTTATAATTGAGGGGGTTGGATGTGTGATCTAGAAGGCCCTTCTAGCTCCCCTCACCAAAGGCTGACTGCAGAGAGGCAGTGGGAAAAAGTGCTATAGGCGTCTTTCTCTTTCCCCAGGGATTCAGGAGAAGAGACCCAGTTAAGATCATGTGTGCTCTGGGAGCAGGAGAACTAGGTGCCCAGGAGGGCCTGATGGAAGAAATGCACGGGCCACCTGTGGTGAGGAGTGCACACAGGTGCTGGCCCCGCCTGGGGCACATACTTGGCAGGGGAGCATTCTAAATAAAACCTGACTGAATTCCTAGCAGTTCTATGGCCGGCAGCTCAGGGTCTTCCTTCCAGAGCCACCCTAGTCCTGGAGTCTGAGGTTCAGGTAGAAAAGAAGGGAGAGAAGGAAAGAAAGAGAGGAAGGAGAGGAGGAAGCACCATGCCTGGATGAGGCGTGAAAACAGGAAGAGACAGAACATGTCGTTCATGTACACACTAAACACGCACATGTGGAGAACAGCGGTGCATGTTTTATAAGAACACAAATGGAAAAGACATCCATTAATATGATGGCCAGGATGTGCTTCCAAATAATAGGTCAGCGGGAGAAAGTGGGGGTGCAGATGAAACAAGATTGGCCACAAGTAGATCATCATGGAGCCTGGGAATGGGGAGGGGGGAACGAATCAAACAAAATGAAGTTTAGCAAACTCAAAGGGAGTCCAGAGAAGTGGAAGAAAGGAGGAAGGGCCGGGAGAAGGAGGGCCGGGAGAGGGAGAGGCCCGGGAAATCAGGAGCAGGAGAGGAGACCTCTCTATCCCAGGGCCCCTCTTCTACTTGGTGACCGCCATCCAGAGTCCACCTGAATAGCCACAGAATTCCAGAGCCAAGTAACTTCGGCGACATTCCAATCACTCCCTCCTTTACCAATGAGGACCGTGAGGTGCTGGAAAGAGAGCACCTTGGGCACATCACACAGGACACCGTAGGAGGAGAGTAAGCCCGACGCCCAGTGCTGGGTTCCTAGCCCTTTCTAAAACGAGACGGAACAAGAAAACCAACAAAAGCCACAACTTTGGAGTCAGCCAGACCTAGCTCAGAGCCCACTTCTGAAACTGTGGTCTTGAGCAAGTTGCTCAGCCACTCTGATCAGCAGCTGCCCAACGGGTACAGGCGCCTTAGCAGGATCCGGGACGCAGAAAGGCGGGCCTTACCCTTGACTTCTAGAGAAAGGGAAGCACCACCACAAGTGTTAAAGGAAGGAGATATGCTTAGCTCAGGGCTTGAGTGTCTGAGAGGCAGCCCTGGAGTCCCGGTCCCTTCTGCTGCTGGGAAGGAATAGCAGCATGCAGCTCCCCTCAGGCTCTCACCTGCACCACCTGGGTGAAGGTGTTCCTGGCCTCCTGCACCTGCTCTCCTTGACCTTGCTGCCTCTGGTCCCTATCGGCCTGGGAGCTCTCAGCCTCGGGCTGTTCTGTCCGCGTGTGCTCGCTTACAGACACCAGGACGCTCTCGGACTCCTGAGATCCACTGGGCTCTAGCTCTTCGGTCATGGTGCTCGTTCTCTGGAATAAGTGTGGGTCTTGCGTGACCTCCTCTCGCCAGGAACCTTGTGCAGCATCTTGCAGGTATGAGACAATGGAGCCGTCTGGATCCCAGTCCTGCAGTCTGGGGTCCAGGGGAGGCAGCAGATGGCCGGCCGGGGAGAGAGAAAGGACACCTGGTCACCCATCAGTCTCACTCCTTTTAGACACTCTCCCCCTCCAGAGCTCTGGCTCATCAAGGACACGGACTGTCCTCTCATCCCCCCAAAGGTCAGGAGCACGTGAGCACACTGCCCACCTCACTGCTGTGGTTCAGAGGGGTACACGTGGCCCATCTAATGCTGTCCAGGTGGAAAGGCCACTGGTCCCTCCCTATGGGTGAACGGCTCGCCCTTGGGGCTCCCAGGGCACTTGGCTCACCCTAATGGTCCAAACACTGGGGCCTCCACTCTCATCCCACATCCTCAAACTCTGCCACCACCTCCTTCTGCTCTCTGGGCCCTTCCCATTCAGCAGTCCTCATCTGACAAGGTGGTCATTCTCTCCCCCTCGAGACACATTCTCCCATGGCTCCTGGAAGGTGCTGGCCTGGTGTCCCCCCTTCCTCTCTGGCCACTGTTGCTCCGTGTCCTCTGCTGATTCCTCATAACTTTCTGACTTCTGAACATTGGAGCGCCCTAGGATTCAGTTCTCAGACCTCACCATTGTCCACATCCGCTTCCTAAGCAAGCTTGTTCATCCCATGGTTCCAAAGCCCATCTCTACACTCAGCGTGCCTGGATGTGTGTCTCCAGCTCGGCTCTCCTCCTCAAACTACAGCTGTGTGCATCCCGCTGCCTCCTCCACATCTCTACTTCGTTGTTTTCTGAGACAGTGCTTCACTCTGTCTCCCAGGCTGGAGTGCAGTGGTACAATCACAGCTCACTGCAGCTCTGCACTCCTGGGCTCAAGCCATCCTCCCGCCTCAGCCACTTGAGCAGCTGGGGCTGCAGGCACATGCCACCACGTCCAGCTATTTAAAAAATTTTGTAGAGATGGGTCTGGCTCACAGGTCTACTTTGGATCTCTACTCAGCATCTCCAGGACAGTGAGATCCAATCCACACTCAGAATCTTCTCCCCTAGCCTGTCCCACCCCATCCCTGCTGCCATCCCAGGTATCTTCATCCTTGCAGCGGGCAGGTCGAGGACATCACTGCCCTCCTTGACCCCTCTCTTCCTCTCTTACCCCACATTGTATTTGCCAGCAGATGCTTCGGAAATATGTCCTGCACCCACCCACCTCTCAGCACGGCCACCGCTGCCGTTCCAGCCCATAAGCCCACGGCCCTTTCCTCCCGACGCACCTCCTGCTTCTCTGCCAGGTTGCGCCAGCCTCCTCTCAAGGCAGGTGCAGCTTACCCTGCTCACCCTCCCCTCCCTAGCTTCATGGGCTTGGTTACTCTGTTAGGGCACGTGCCAGGCACGGTCTCCTTCACAGGGCTAGGCCTTCTATGGGGCATCCTCCCTGAGATGTCCTCACGCTCACCCTCAATTCCTTGAAGTCTCTCAGCTGGCACTCATGCAGGCCTCCCCTGGCCGCCCATCTGTAATTCCAGCCGGCCTTCTTTCCACACACACTCCTACCTCCTGTCCTCCTTCTCTGCTTGATTTTTCTTCTTAGCACATATTATCTAGAATTTCTGTTTTAATGACTTCTAATTTTATTTACTTTATCTTGTTTCTTATTAGTTTCCCTGCTAGAACTACGCTTCTTGCAGGTAGAGACTTTTTTCTGTTTCATTCGATGCCGGCACCCAGGCACTCTTTATAGGTGCCTGGCACACAGTAGGCACTCAATAAATACTGTTGAGTGAGTAGATGAAATTCATCTGTCCCCATTAGAAGGCTGACCAAGGTCACAGCGCCAGGAAGTGACACAATAGGCCTAGAGCCCAGGCGTTCATGTCCCCAGTTAGCAACGCTGGATAATGCAGGGGCCAGCATTCAGCCCCCGCAGGTGCTCAATAAATGCTTGTTGAAGGAACGGCCGTCCCAGGAAGGTGCCTCTCTCCCGGGAAGGCCACTATTTCACTTCACACCGGCTTAAGCTCCATCTGTTCAATCCTCCCCATGAATCCACGGATTTGTGTAGGAAAAAAAATTGAATCTTTGTTGTCTCAACTTCCAAACTACTTCCTTTCCCTTCCTGTTAGGGCATTGGGGCTACGCTGAACGGATCCTGTGGAATGACCCTACCAGCCTGGGCCTCAGGGTGGGACTGAGGGGTCACACAGGTGGGGAAAGGACACGAGAATAGCTTTCCTTTACCTGGCCAGTCCTGAGCTCCTTGGGGTGGGGGCCTGGAACAGCTGCCTGGGGGCACAAGAACCGTGTCCTTTCTTTAGGGAAAACTTAGCAAGCCAGGTGACCTGAAGGAAAGGGGATTCCTCTGTCATCTGCTTCCTGTGCTAGCCCAGGAGGACAACGTGAGCCCCACCTCATGTCTGTCTCATCTCTTTCTGTAACCGCAAGGGCCTGGCTTGCCTTGGCATCCTTCCCTGCACTCAGCAGAGGGGCATAGTGTAGGCTCTGGCCCAGATGGGACGATGAGAGCTCCAAGGTGAGCCTGCCCTCGGCTGCAGACTCGCAGTGTCTGGGAAATGCACCCCCTTCTCCTGACCTGCCGACGCTGCTTTTCTGCTGCATCATGGGGGGTGGGGGGTCTTCTCAGCCCAGGGAGCTTGGGGAGGAGAGACCCACTGCTCTACAGCTGAAAGCTTTGTCCTGCCCCAGATAAACCCACCAGCTCCTCCTTCAAAGGGGATAAGTGGGGAGGGCGCCATTCTCAGCTCCATCACATGCAGGCTGTGTGACTGCACACAAATAACTTCCCTGGGTACTGGTGCTTCTAAATATGGTCTTCAACTAAATATGGTGCACGAAGAGGGAGAGGAGCTCAGAACACCAGCTCCAGCAGCACACTGACCCATAGTCTCCCCCAGCCTCATCATTGCTCTCCTGTATGAGCCCTCTGTGTGCCCTCACGTCCCTAAGCAAGCCCTGCCCATGCCCCAGTGTTCCTAAAAGAGCCCTCTCCGTGTCCTAATATCCCTAAGTGAGCCCTCCCGGCGCCCTGATGTCCCTAAGTGGGCCCTCCAAGCCCCTGATGTCCCTAAGTGAGCCCTCCTTGAGCCCTAATGTCCTCAAGTGAGCCCTCCCAGTACCCTCATGTCCCTCAGTGAGCCCTCCCAGCCCCCTAATGTCTCTACATGAGTTCTCCCAGCAGCCTAATGTCCCTAAGTGAGCCCTCCCGGTGCCCTGATGTCCCTAAGTGAGCTCTCCCAGCACCCTGATGCTCTAAGTGAGCCCTCCCAGTGCCCTAATGGCCCTAACTGAGCCCTCCCAGTGCCCCAGTGTTCCTAAGTGGGTCCTCCCAGCAGCCTAATGTCCCTAAGTGAGCCCTCCTGGCACCCTAATGTCCCTAAGTGAGCCCTCCTAGTACTGTTATGTCCCTAAGTGAGCTCTTCTGGTGCCCTGATGTCCCTAAGTGAGCCCTCCCAGCTCCCTAATGTCCCTAAGTGAGCACTTCCAGTGCCCTAATGTCCCTAAGTGAGCCCTCCCAGCAGCCTAATGTCCCTAAGTGAGCCCTCCCAGCAGCCTAATGTCCCTAAGTGAGCCCTCTGGGTGCCCTAATGTTCCTAAATGAGCCCTTCCATCGCCCTAATGTCCCGAAGTGGGCCCTCCCGGCCCCCTAACATCCCCAAGTGAGCCGTCCTGGTGCCCTAATGTCCATAAGTGAGCCCTTTCCATGCACTAATGGCTCTAAGTGAGCAATCCAGGCACCCTAATGTCCGTAAGTGAGCTCTCCCAGTACCCCAATGTCCTAAGTGAGCCCTTCCAGTGCCTCGATGCCCTAAGTGAGCCCTCCTGGCACCCTACTGTCCCTAGGTGAGCCCTCCCAGCTCCCTAATGACCCTAAGTGAGCTCTCCCCACGCTCTAATGTCCATAAGTGAGTCCTCCCGGTGCCCTAACATCCCTAAGTGAGCCCTCCCGACACCCTAATGATCCTAAGTGAGTCCTCCTGGTGCCCTAATGTTCCTAAGTGAGTCCTCACCATGCTCTAATGTCCCTAAGTGAGTCCTCCCGGTGCCTCGATGTCCTAAGTGAGCCCTCCTGGCACCCTACTGTCCCTAAGTGAGTCCTCCTAGCTCCCTAATGACCCTAAGTGAGCTCTCCCCACACTCTAATGTCCGTAAGTGAGTCCTCCCGGTGCCCTAACATCCCTAAGTGAGCCCTCCCGACACCCTAATGATCCTAAGTGAGTCCTCCTGACACCCTAATGATCCTGAGTCCTTTGGTGCCCTAATGTCCCTAAGTGAGTCCTCCCCACACCCTATGTCCCTAAGTGAGCCCTCCCGACACCCTAATGATCCTAAGTGAGTCCTCTCGATGCCCTAATGTCCCTAAGTGAGTCCTCTCGGTGCCCTAATGTCCCTAAGTGAGTTCTCCCCACACCCTATGTCCCTAAGTGAGTCATCCCAGTGCCCTAATGTCCCTAAGTGAGCCCTCCCCATGCTCTAATGTCCCTAAGTGAGCCCTCCTCATGCTCTAATGTCCCTAAGTGAGCCCTCCTGGCACCCTAATGTCCCTAAGTGAGCCCTCCCCATGCTCTAATGTCCCTAAGTGAGCCCTCCCCGGTGCCCTAATGCCCCTAAATGAGCCCTCCCAGTGTCCTAATGTCCCTAAGTGAGTTATCCCCATGCCCTATGTCCCTAAGTGGACCTAAGTGCACCCTTATGTCCCTGAGTGAGCCCTCCCAGTGCCCTAATGTCCCTGAATGAGCCGTCCTGGCACCCTAATGTTCCCAAGTGAGCCATCCTGGCGCCCTAATGTTCCTAAGTGAGCCTTCCTGGCACACTAATATCCCCAAGTGAGCAATCCAGGCACCCTAATGTCCGTAAGTGAGCTCTCCCAGTACCCCAATGTCCTAAGCGAGCCCTCTCAGTGCCTTGATGTACTAAGTGAGCCCTCCTGGCACCCTACTGTGCCTAAGTGAGCCCTCCCGGCTCCCTAATGACCCTAAGTGAGCTCTCCCGACACTCTAATGTCCCTAAGTGAGCCCTCCCCGTGCCCTAACATCCCTAAGTGAGCCCTCCCGACACCCTAATGATCCTAAGTGAGTCCTCCCGTTGCCCTAATGTCCCTAAGTGAGTCCTCCCCAAGCTCTAATGTCCCTAAGTGAGTCCTCCCCATGC